CCTTCGGTCATTTCGTGACTTAGGGTGCCACTTGTTCCTTATGTAGATTTTTTTGTGAAAAAAACTAGTATGTATATAAAATTTTATCCGAGCGACCGGGTGGCGTGCCACCCCCAACTCAATACATAGATCCGCCCCTGTATCCAACACTATTTTCATTCATAGTACAATTGAATTGAATGTCTTTTATTAGCATTAGTATTGATTTGATTTTGGTTTAGGACTTATTTGAGTTACTAACATTTATGGACTATAAACTTATTGGAGCATCTAAAAATTATAAGCCCAAGCTTGAAATAATACGTTAAAAGATAAAATTATGAAAAAGCTTAAGAAATATTTATAAAGTACATTACCATCAATTTTTTTATGTATTAAATATATTTAAAACTTCTATACATATAACGTCGGGTTGGTTTAGTTTCGGTTTGACTTTTTTTAGTTAAAACCAAACCAAATATGATCAGATTTTTTTTTCCAACACCAAACCATAGTCGATTTTTTTTTTCTCGATTTGATTCGGATTTTCGGGTTGGTGCGATTTGTCGGTTTCATTTGTACACCCCTAAGCAGTACTATAATTGAGATTTGAACAATTTTATAGTTAAAATCTTTCAAGTTTCTATTTCGGAGTTTTGTACTTTTATAATAACATACAAAAATAACATAAAGATTTAGGATAAAAAGAAAATACGTAATCTAAAATGTGTCTTGTTTCTAATGTGAACTTGAAAATTTGGAACAAAACTTGGAAGCTTTGAAAGGAGGTTCACTACTTGCCTGACGTCACCGTACAAGGAAATAATAAAATTTTTTGCTAACTAGAAAGCTAATATAAGAAACAATAAAGTTGTTTAAAATAATGACGTTCTTTAATTAAGAGGTCAAATGACGAGTACAAGGAAATAATGAGTTTATAAAAGAATAAATAATTTACTATGAATATTTATTGTTTTTAATTTCTATGACATTTTTTGTGAGACCAAGATGTGATTATTAAAAGATGCGCCATGTGTACCAGTTGTCGTAACAATGCACAACTTGATGGCTCTCCATCTCGAAAAGTAGGCTCTCCCTCTCGAGAAGTATTGCTTATCAAAATTAAATTGAGCATCAAAGAACAATTAAATCCCATGATAAACCTTAGGAGGTGCTTCATATGCTAGATAATTAGAAACTTGAAACATAACCACAAATCAACAACATAGAAAGAGGTATTGATGGGCAATATATGTACCTCGTAGGCTAATTTTTTGGGGTCAATGTCATCCAAAAATCTGAAAATTACATCATAAAAAGAAGAATTAGCATGTTCCAAAGTAATAACATACTGAATTACAGATGAAATCGTCCATCAATTGACTAAGGTGATGTAAAATTCCTATCAAAATATAGTCGAAAATTTTGATTCACTCTGTTAACAAGGAATCAAATTGTGTACCAAATATTAGTGTTCGAGGATTCTTGATTTTTGGAAGCAATCGGTGGATAAAAAGAATTCCAAGAGTTAAGGAGATCCGTGCATATCGTGGTATTAAAGCAACATCAATTAAATTTTTTTCTTAAATATAAAAAGATGCAATCTACAAGTAGAACAAAGAATGTTTCTTCCAAAATTCAAAGGTTTAATACCCATAACAGCTTAAAGGGGTAGAAATTTGATTTTCAATGAAGGGATCTTTAAGAATTTACACCCATTGCGACTCCTATTCTGCTAAAAGATACAATTCGATAAATATACTACAAAAAAAAAAATCTTTATCTTAACACTCTCAAATTGTTTAATGTCAATTCACCAAAGCCATAAAACAAAAACTAAATATAAAACACCATAGCGGGGTATATAATATAAAAAAATTAAAATTAAATTTAAAATCTAAAAATGATATATCCGCCGAAATCATAACATATATACCAACATGTAGCATAAATCGTAGAAACAGCAAAACAAAAACTAAGTAACCGAATTATTAACTAAAGCTTCAAATATCACATGATATCAAGCCAAAAACCAAATCAGTACAATATCAATAAAGCAAAACGGTTGAGAAAACAGTAGAGTTGTAGCTAGACGTAGTTCAAATTAATTGTTAATTAAGGTGGTTTTGTACAGATGCTTTTCTAATTTAAGTAGGATTTTATTTATTTGTTTCCTTGATTACAAAAGGAATGTTTTTCCGATTTCATAGGAACGAATTTTTAATAGATGTGCTTTTAATAATGATACAAGGAAATAATTAAGTTTTTAAAGAATTAATGTATTCTCAATTTTATAGAACTTTGAATGCACTCTTCAATTAATCTCTCATAATGACACTGATTTTCCCTATTTAGTGCAACCGTGAATTCTACATCTCTTAACATTTTCATTAAAAAAAAGATTTAATATGAATTTCTAAATATTAGGACTTGCTATATAGTTCAAATAAGGAAAGAAAATATTAATTGATTTTAAACTAATTAATTATTAGAAAAACAGTCAATTTTATAGAACTTTGAATGCACTCTTCAATTAATCTCTCATAATGGCACTGACTTTTTCTATTTAGTGCAACCGTGAATTCTACATCTCTTAACATTTTCATTAAAAAAAAGATTTAATATGAATTTTCTAAATATTAGGATTTGCTATATAGTTCAAATAAGGAAAGAAAATTTTAATTGATTTAAAGTTATGAAATATTAAAAAAATAATCAAATGACTATTTTGTCTAACGTGAACTCTATTTTTAAAAGGATAAAAAGTCGAACAATATTTCGCTAATAATTTTCGTGCTTTTAATATAGTACTAGTCTTAGGGTACGCGCGTTGCGCGTGTACCATATATCATTGATCATAAACTTTCTAAAATAACATTTTTGGATATTATATTAAAATATATTTGAGTTTTTAAATAAAATTTAAAGGAAAAAAGATTCAAATTTTTAAAAATGATGATGTTAAACTCAATAGAAGTCCTCGAATCAGAAGCAACAAAGTCGATCCATCATGTATTATATCATAATTTATCACTAGTTACATCACATTGTGCATGAATTTCTTTATCTTATTTCGTGTCATAATCCCTCCATATGTCTATTGGTTCGAAATATTACAAATTTTGAGTTATTTGATTCTATCAAATTTCGACAACACAAAAAGATAAAAGAAAAATACATACATAAAATATAATTTATACATAGTAGAGAATTTTTTATATGACAAAAATATTCACGGAAAAATATTTTCTTGAGTTATGTTTGGTAACCAAACATGAGAAAATATATTTTATAATAGTCGTTATAGGTAAAGGAATAGTTGTAAACTTTTGAATTTTATATTCTTATTCAATATGTAATTGTTGTGTTCAATTCAAGTTTTAATCATTTAGCTGTATAATAATTCTACTTTAATAATTCTCTATGAGTATTTATACTAATCTCCGACAATGGGCGTTGGTATCCATAATTACCAAGTAATCTTTATGAGATTTTGTGTTGAAATAGACTAATTTTTCAGTGGACTAATATTCTTAGTTGTATTTCTTCTTCAATATGGAATATATTTTTTTAATAAGAAAAGGATTTATATAAAGTCCTAAATATTAGGACTTCCTGTATAATTTCAGAAAAGAAAGAATGTATAATAAAAAATTTAGTTGATTTCAATATCCTAAATATTAGGATTGTAACTTAAATTACAATTGTATCCAACGTGAAATATATTTTTAAAGGGTAAAAAAATGCGAACAACATTTCTCTAAGGGGTTTCGTGTATCATATCAAAACATTATGAAATATTCTTTATAAACTAATTAGAAAAATTACAGAAAAAGTACAAGTGCCTAAAAATGAAGAAATGTTGTCCTACGACAGTCCTTTGATGCCTTATTATTCGATCCATAGAAACTAAATTACAATGAATTTTAATTTGCTAGGTAGAATCTCTAGGTTTTTACTACTTAACATAATGTGCTTTTGAAATTATGAGTAAATAGACAAAGAAAATTTATACAAGGTAAAATTATATATAGTTCAAATAGGCAAAGAAAACTTTATTAACAAAATAAAGACTCCTAACCCACAAATAAGTTCAAAAGACTAATTTTTCACGTAATATATTTTATAAAAAATTAGTCCTAATAAGTTAGTACCGAAACTTTTCTAACTACGTCAAAATTTTATTAACTAAAGAAAAATTAAAACTTATAGGCAGAATTTTATTAACTAAAAAAACCTCCTCGGAAACCTAAAAGAAGAAATTTGGTACTCCTAAATATAAATAGAGCTGAATGAAAAGCTTTTCGAGTTTATAAATATTAGGAGAATAATTAAATGACTATCCTAGATAGTAGATTAATTAAATGACAATTCTTAAATATTAAGAAAATAACAAACTTTCCTAGTTTAAAAATATTAGGAGAATAATTAAATGACCATTCCTAAATAGTAGGGGATTAATTAAATGTCTATTTATAAATAATAAGAAAATAATAAAATGACTATTTCGTCCAGTGTGAACTCAATTTTTAAAGAGTAAAAAAGACGAACACATTTCGCTAAGGGCCTTCGTGCTTTTAATATAAAATATAGATATAGATAGATAGATATATTCGAACCTATAGGACTAAAAGCGCAAAAAAAATAAAAAATTACACTAAATAAATTTTGAAAAAAACTTCAAATATGATGATAATAATGATAAAAAATAATACTCCCCCACCTACAATTCTTCGATTCTTATTTAGTTGTGCTTAAATTTAGTATAGAAATTTATTTGAATCAAACTAATATATTTTATCATTGATAAATAAGGTAAAAATCTATATTAATTAATTCTACTAGTAGATAATAAAAAGAGTATACGGAAGGCAGATATTATGTTATCAATATTTTAGTGTAATCATCTAATGCGAGTAAATTACCTAAATTTGACCTTATTATACACACAACACCTCAGCCCATTTTTCTTCTTTTACTTTTTTTTTTCCAGTCCTTTTTCGGCTGAACCCTAAACTGAAAAACCCCAGTTGCCATTTTCCTCTCCCTTGCAAGAAACACCCACAACCATATTCAAAGGTCAGCTTTCCCCAGCTAAAGATTCAATCTTTCTAGCCCTATACTTTTTTTAATTTTAGGTTTTCTTTATCGATGCCGTGCTAATTAATAATGATTTGTACTGTGTAGAAATATTGAAAGAATTCATGGCAGAAGTGGGTGAAGCTACTTTATGTTGTGCTCAATGTGGCAAGCCCGCTCATCTTCAGTATGTTTCCACTCTTTTTAATTTTTGTATTCTTTTTGCAATTATAAAAAACGATGTTTTTGTATTTTTCTTTATTGAATTTGATTGCTTAGGTGGCTTTGATAGAAATATATGCTTTATGATATTCAACTGAGTTCGAGTTTATGCATATTGCTTACTCGTGTGTTAGGATTTTAAGACTTTAAGATTAATTTTTTTAAGAGTTAAGTGGATTTTTTTAAAGGGGTCAAGATTAAAGAGGATATTCTAATTCGTGTCGTTTCCTTGCTGTGTTACCTTGTATAATATTTTGTTGATTTTCATAGATCGTATAGAATTCCATTTGATGTACTGTATCCCTAAGGGTTTCATAAACTTACTTTTCGGAGCCTTTGTTCATCATCCTTGGAGTTGGAAATTTAATGCATCCAATACTTGTTGGCAATTGCTATGGGTGATCTTTCATTTGCTTTTGTAGTTATACGGCCAATTGTTGGCCTTTTAGTGATGTTACTTTCACTGAAGAGTTTCTGTACTCTGATTTCTGTGCTAATTTATTTTTTCTACTATTCGAAGGTGTCCCAAGTGCGTGGAGTTAAAACTTCCTCGTGAAGGAGCTGCTTTCTGGTTTGTAGCTATGACCATTCTCTTTTTGAACTATCTTTTCCATTTTTCATTATTGAGCTGAAGCTTAATTTTGCGATTACTAATATGCATAACTTATATCATAGCTAAAACCATCAATCTGTGGGAAATAAGTTTTTTTTTGTTTAACAGCTTGTACATAGGATGTATAAGTTCAGTATAGCTCTTGCGATGCAAGAGAGGGATAAGGGTGTACCTGCTGCTTGTTGTTGAAGATTTAATGTGTGCATATCTTTGCACCTTTACTGCTATGTTTGCAGAATTTTCTATAATAGGACTATTTGCCACATTGCAAAGCTGGATTGCCTATTTGCATAAGTTGTTCAATGTCAAAAACTTAAGTTTTCAGTGGTGGGAACTGGACTAATTAAAGGACATTATAAAATATAACATTGCTGCTAATAAACAAAAAGTTATAAGGGCTGCAACGACCTGTCTATGAGACTAATTTAAAGTGGAACTTGAAAAGTTATCTGCTGCTGTGTGCTGTGATTCTGATCCAAGAAAATGGAAGGCTAATGAGATGAGGCTCTCTTTCGATAAAAAATAGTTAGATCTTTGTCTTCTCTGGTCATTGGCTTGATACTTTGGTTTTGATGCAAGATACTTCTTGTCAGCACGCAGGACTGTTTCAAGGCATCTTGGAGCTCTCACAAGTCTGTCCACTTGAAGGCAAAATTATCTTCTCTGGCAGCTGAAACTTCAGGAACAGCCTCACCTAGTGATGGTTGGCTATATTGCTTGAGGAAAGGACAGGCTCGAACACCCAAACTTCCGCATTTTGACTGGGCTGGGTATGTTTGATATGGTTCTTACTCTTAGCTAATGAATATTGTACTTACCTCTCTGATGTTACTTTGTTGAGGATTACTATGTTTTCTCTTCAATTAGAAAAGGTAGAAGTTAGAACAACACATTTATTCGTATAATGGACTACTTTTAATTTGATCTCAGCTAGTTTATGATGAAACTAAAACTGGCTGGCATAATCTATTTTGGAGTCAGTGTGTTGCTTTCCTCCTCTACTTGTTTGGATGCTTTTTTTGATTGCCCTTAACCTCGTTGGGTTTTGGACTGCATATTTCAACTGACATTTAGTCCAGCTATAGTTTCTTAGACTTGCTTGCTCTGGCGTGGAGAATCACTGAAGGGTCTTGACAAATTCCCATTGAAACTAAAACAGGCTAGCATAGTCTATTTTGAATCACAGTGCTTCTCTTCCTAGTCCTAAACTTAACTGGATTAATGATGTCTTCTTTGCTTATTTCATGTTCAAGTTATGTAAACCTTATTTTATACTATATCTTTCTGCAATTCTCACTGCCTTTTCTCTTAAACTTTCTTAAAGAAAATTATTCAAAACTCACCGTGTTCCATTACCAGTATTTCTTCCTCAAAAAAGAAAATTATTCAAAACTTATTTTTGCTACCAAAACATGGTGTTATAAACCTAAGTGGCTGTCCAAACAGCTATATGTACTACTACTAGTTATAAAGAGTAAATAAACTTTTGAGTTCTCTGTATTTTTTAAAATGATTTTCTTTTGGAACCAAAAGTCGACCAGAACTAATTATTTGCACTGATATTGGGGTAAGTGCAAAGATTTGCTTGATTCTCAGCTGTAAGTTGATGTCAAAGTATCCAACACCTTGTGTCTTTGGAAGGGGATTATTCAATAACTCGTGTTTTGAAGATGAATTTTCCAACTTCCTCTTCTTGGATTCCGATGTTAAAGATGAAAAGTTTTCTAGGCTTCTATGCTTATATTTTTATCTTTGTTTGTTTTCTTTTTGTTTGAAGCTTTTGATAGCTGAAATAGTAAGATAACTAGATAAGTTAACTGGCGTTTTAGTTGAATTTATTTCCAACAAAAAATATCGAGCTTTACTTCCCTAGCATACTGTGCTCTTTTGTTATAAAACCAGAAAAGCTAGTTTCCTTATTATCTTTCAGTTTCTCTTTCATCNTCTTCTCTTATTTTCCTACAAAGTTGCTGCTAATGTTTGTTGTCTAAAAACGTATGGTGCCGCCTTCTTTCAGGACACTAAGGCCCTATCCGATATCAAAAAAGCGTGTTGTACCTGATCATATTGATCAACCTGATTGGGCAGATGATGTGAGCCATTTTATCTTATTTCTGTATATTGCAACTATTAGTCAGTCATACGCACACACGCACATGCTGCATATTTTTGCCATCTCTTATGGAGCTGAATAGCTAAAATGTTGACAATTGCTTCTATTAATTTGCTTATCATAAGGAGCTTATGTGCCTAATATTGGACGTTTTTCTCGTTCTGAAGATTAACGATAGAAAATATGCTATGTAGTTTATTTTGTTTGTCTTATTTTGTAGGGTATCCCAAAAATTGAACCCAACAGTGATTTACAGCACGTCGTTGAGGTACCATTTGTGTTTAGTAAAATGATTTGCGGTTATACTAGATGTTTGTGCGGTAACAAATTAAATTTTTGCTCACACCACCTGCTTCGGTTCTAAACTTTTTGAAGATCAAAACTCCAGAGCTGATTGCGAGGATGAGAGAAACATGCCAAGTAAGTATTCTCAGTTTATGTTTTCTGATTATGTTCTACCAATAAATTATCTTCTTAATTAGTCTTTTCATAATTCATTATTTTCATTCTCTGAAGCATAGCCATTTATTATACTATAGCTATGCCATACATTTGCCTGTCCTTAGACTTATGTGAGATCTGAGTGAGATTGAAGCCTAGAAGGTATGTGTTCACATATATTTTAGAGATCAGAAAGAAACCAAGTTAGGAAGATTTGTGTAAGATGCTCTATAATGAGGCGTTAGATTTCATTCTATGACAGGATACTTTCAAGCTATGATAGGTGAAATTTGATGGATTAACCAATAACTGGAATCAAGGTCCTGAGTATATTTCTATGACCTAGTCTGTCTCCTTCCTGCAGCAGTGCTTTTAGATAATATCTTTTGATTGGGTTTATTAGCACCTACAGGGCGTGGGGTTTCCAGAACAGATAACTGACATCAGTGGTTACCGGAAGGTTGGTGTATTTGTATATCCATCATCTATCGTCTAATAATTGAGAGCACTCAATTCAATCACATCCCAAGCAAAAAAAGGGAGTGGTTACACTCTCTTGCAAAAGCATGCAATAACCTTGATGCTCGCTAAAAGCATTATTAGGCTAGAACTGATAGTCGTCCCACTAAGAGTAAACCAGGTGCACCAACCTCATTTACAGAATTCTTATATTTCATTCCATTTACTTATCCTACTATCCTCAATCAGGCTGAATATGATGGATGGTTAGTGTTCCTAAGGTTATAAAGTTTCCATGCCATGCATCTTTGGCAAAGAACCATGGTCTGAGCATGTTCATTGGTTCTTCGCCAGTCTTTAGGATTTTGTGTGTGAGTCCTTAGGCATAATTGGTATTATTATCTTCAAGACCCAATTCTTCACCAGAACAATGTTTCTTATAATATATGTGCGTCATACAATGATTCTAAGCTTTCTTGGTTGAGAGATGGCGAGGGACAAATATTTGGCAATACTTTGCTCCTTCAACTTTATTGCATTTCTTGAAGTACTTGTTTATTCATATCCTACCTTCAGATAGCAAGGGAAGTTCTGGATGCAGCGGCTCGTATTATTCGACCTGGCGTGACAACTGATGAAATTGATGCGGTGGTGCATGAGGCTACTGTTTCCGCTGGTATGCTGATAGGGCTCTGATCATTTTAATCACTTCTAATAGTTGCAATTGGTTGTGGAGGCCATGCCCAACTTGATAGATTTTATTAGATTTCAGGCTTTAGTCAAGTTTGTGTTAAAGCACAAACACTTATTTCCTCTTGACTTACATTACACAGTCANTAACCTCGATGGAGTAGTGACGAGGGACAATCAAGACACATAATTCACTAAACAACCTGCACAAGTATAAAGGTGAACTAACAGGGAAAAAATGCCAATATAAAGCAAAGCATGGTAAGAAAGACCAAAAGCAAATCCTGCTCTTAAAGAAATTGTTTTATATTGGCTCACCTGTTCTTCTAATATGTGGAGCTGCTGTTTAACTCTTTCTTTTGGTGGCATATGCAGGTGCATATCCATCTCCATTGAATTATCATTTTTTCCCCAAGTCATGCTGCACGTAGGTACTTTATCTTGTAAATGTTCTTTATGCACTGTTATGCAGGTTCTAGATTTTACTTAAAGATAGAATTCTGTCTGCTTGTTGCAGGTCAGTCAATGAAGTTATCTGCCATGGGATTCCAGATGCAAGGTTAGTCTTACATTAAGCACCGAACTAGTTCTCATTTGCATTTCATGTAGGTCTCCTGCCCACTTTGTTTTTGGGTGAGGGAGAGGGGAGTGTGTTGTTACCAAGTTACCTTTTTTTGAAGGCTTAATTATGATTTAACTACTGTTGAGTCCTGTCAATCTGTCTTTTCTCAATTTCACCTGTGCCTGAGATCATTCCTTGGTGGATGTTACCATGGCATATGTGTTTACTAGATGCGTGGTTTTGAATAGAGGAAGGATGTATGTTTCTGATAAAAAATTGTTTAGGCTGTGTGTCATTTGTCACTTCTAATTGTTTCAGGGAATTAAAGGATGGTGATATTGTAAATGTTGATGTTACTGTATATTACAAAGGGGTTCATGGTAAATCATTTTTTACCATTGATCTATTTGATAATGTTTTAACTTCTTGCAGATTTGATATTTAGCTAGTGCATTGCTGATTATGCAGGTGATCTGAATGAAACCTTCTTTGTTGGTAATGTTGATGAAGCATCTCAACGGTTAGTCCAGTGCACATATGAGTGTTTGGAGAAAGCAATATCAATTGGTAGGTTGCATTACTGTATGTTATGCCTCGAATACTTGATATATCGTAGGCTTTACCATTCCACGAACATCAAACTTAGTGCCTTTTATTCCTGAAGTAAAAGGTCTTAAAGACAAGTCTAACAGTTTGCAAAAACAAATATAGTAAGTATGACTCGTCAATTAGACTCGTTAAATATGTTCTATCCCCTTTTATTCTTTTTGCTATTTTGGCCAGTTGTTTGCTATTTGGTTCTGTCCATAGCAGCTTTTCCCTTTTGCTTGCATCTTCTCTTATGTACCTGAGTCTCGAATGGTCTTGCTGAGAATTTTCTGTTCAATATGTTCTTAAAGAGTTAGGGAAGTGAAGTTAATGTGTAAGAGTGTGCTAGTAAAACATGTTGTCTGTTGGGAGAATGTTTCGGTTCATCTTGGCTTAGAACGTTGATCAAAACTCTAGGTGTCTCACTTTTTTCATTATGCCATTTTATTGCAGTTAAGCCTGGGGTACGGTTTCGGGAAATTGGGGAGGTCATCAATCGACATGCTTCAATGTCTGGCTTATCTGTGGTAAGATAAAACAAAGAAAACTTTGCCTAACTACCCCATCAGGTGGATTAGTGAAAGCTCGGTTTTGTTGGAAGTTGACATGTTTTACATGTTATCATTTTCTTCTTGCAAACTGGGGTGACAGGTGAAGTCATATTGTGGTCATGGCATTGGAGAACTTTTTCATTGCGCACCAAACATTCCACATTATTCGAGTATCCTTATTTAGCATTTTATGATTTATCAAAAAAAAGTCGCCTTTTAACATTTAAATCTTTGTTCTGTCATGCGGTGAAATGTAAATGTAACGTAATATTTTCAAATGTTGTCCAATTAATACCTCTGAGATTGTGGCAATCGAAGTTGATCTTGCTTTACTACTGTCAACTTTCCCTTTGGTGTGTTATCTTAACCTGATCAGGAAATAAAACAGTTGGCGTCATGAAAGCTGGCCAAACTTTTACAATTGAACCTATGATTAATGCTGGTAAGTTCTTCAGTTCTGAAGTTATTATGTACTATTCGATATGAAATTTCTTTTCCTTGTGTCTTGATTAATTCTATTGCAGGTGTTTGGCGTGATCGCATGTGGCCTGATGGATGGACTGCTGTGACAGCAGATGGGAAACGAAGTGCTCAGTTTGAACACACTCTCCTGGTATTACTTTATTTTACATCCTTTTCGGTATACGAATGATTTAATGCTAGCTTTTCTTTATTGCGTGCTGTTTCAGATTGATTTGAGATTACTTGGTTTTGATGAATTGTTTGTTGCTGCTGAACACTGTATTTAACTACATAAAACTCTTTCTCTGATCTATTTTTCTATTAAACAATTGGGAAAAGATAAAATACTGGACCCAAAGATATCCAATATTTTTGGTACATCAAGCCATGATATGAAAGAAACGCTGTAAAAAATCTACACTTGTCATTAATACCATTGTTCGTTCTTCTACTTGGTAGAATTTGCAAAACTGACGTAGATGCTTGGTTGAACCACAATACTTATGTTTTGTCAGACATTGTTTTGTCATTCACTTCTGCATTAAATCATGGAAAGTTATTCAAATCACAATGTATTGACTCGCATGAAAGCAACATATCATGAGCCATAAGGTCAGCCTTGTCATTTTCTTTTTCTTTTCTGAGGTTTGGGGAGGGGAGGGGGACTAATGTTTCCGTGGCCTATATTTTCTTTTGTAAAGGTTTCTTTTAGGAGGTGTGCATTCGGTCGGTTTTGGGTTATATTCAGTTCGGGTTTTCAGTTGGTAGGTAGGCAAATCGATCACCGAACTTAATAGTGTTGAATAGTTTTTTTTTTCTCGTTTGCCTTTTTCTACAAAGGTCAATTTTGAGTTCCTGCGTCAAATTACAAAATCTTCCTTTAAATTTGTAGAAATTAATTATCATACTCTTCAGTGTTATCAAAAGCGAAAAGTGCAAAAAAGCTCAAAGGTCAGTTGGGGCTTTAAGCGCAAGAGTATGCCAATCATTATTATCATACAGTATTCAAAATATAAATCCAGAATTAGCCTAAGAAAGAATTAGAAAAAAGACCAAGTAAGATCTCATAGTTTTTTGGTTTTAGTTTTTTTTTTCCAACTTAAACAAACAAATAAAATACCCCAGTATTGTGAAATGAAAATTGTAACTGACTGAAATGTTGAAACCTGAACAAAAGAAAGGAAAATGGAAATTTCAGTCTGGTTGGCCTTTTCGGTTAAAACTAAATAAAGCACAGTCCTACCTCCTAAGGAGAAGACACTTGGGTTGACCTTTTGATGAAATCCAAGTGCTCGTACCCTAAGATGATGAAGAAAAATGCACAATGTAAAATGACAGCCTCCACAAATGTGTCCCTCATAGGACAATGTTAATGAGCAGAGTCGAGTCTAAATTTGGCTTGGCTGAATAATGGTTTGACCAATGGCTCTATATTCAAACTCAATGTGAGAGCTCAGCAAGCTCGTGTGCGAATCTGAGTACTGAAGCCTTTAACTTATAAATCCCAAGCAACCAGAAAATTTCAAATTCTAGTCACCACCCAGGATAGACTAATAGATCAGATGTGAAGGAAAGGATTGTCAGAACTAATTGGTGGATACTATGGTGTTTCGGCCAACTTGTGTCCCTCAACTAATGCGTCACACTCTTGCTACCTCTCACTAGCACAAGTGGCAGGTAGGTTCATCAAGGCTTGAGCAGAGTGCGGGGTAGCCACCGGGGTACGTGTTACAACTCTGAGCCACAAGGTTTAGGCAAATGGGAAGAATTCACCTTGTGTTGCTCCTGTTGGGGTTCGAACTTTGGTTCCAAGATTGTCACTCTAGCTTCAACCGCTAGGTCAACGCCTTAGAGGCCAAAAAAGTTGTCAGATTTAAAGTGAAATTAATCGGAATCAAACTTTCCACCACCAGAGTAGAGAATTAGACATTTATTGGTCTTCTAGTATGACAAAGGAAACAATAAGATCTGCTCATTCAAATACAAAATTTCCCAAAGCAACATCAATATTAGTATGTCTGCACTTGAAATTATTAACTAGAAAAGACTGAAATGTTGCATACTTGTATTCAAGAACTTGGGATCAAGAGGTGAGAACTGAGAAGAATGCCGGAATAACCTTTATCAAGGCTATATCTATCTAGAAACACTAAAGTTTATGTTGGTGAACTTCACTGAAGCAGAATCAAGCTTGGTGGAACTATTGGATTTCTTTCTGCGTCTCGCTATCAGAAAACATTCATATATGCATATGCTTAGTTAAAGATGTCAGAGAATTACTTAGTAATTTTGCTTCGCTCGGGTTGATTGATGTGTGTTTCTGGTGATGGATAATTTGTAGGTCACAGAGACTGGAGTTGAAGTACTCACAGCACGCCTACCGACATCTCCCAAGGTGTTCCCTTGGCTGAGTTCTTGATTCGTGGTTTGCATTCTTTTGGTGCAGCATTTAGCAATTGAGGATCCAGCCAGTCATAAAAAATTTCAGTGACGAGTTAGTCTATTTATGTGTGTCAAATGTATTTTTTAATTGGTTGGCTTTTGAAATTTTGGTCTTAAAGGTCGTCTAGTTTGTAGACTGAGAATCAGAGTTAACTGGATGAACGAATCAGTCTTTTCTCGAGTCAAATGCTATAATGAAGCTGAAGCTTTTGGATATCTGATTTCGTATTGGATTAAGCTCTATCTAAGGGGCTTGCACGGTTTGCCGTTGAGAAAAAACAATTCCATTATTTAACGTTTTGTATAATTAATATAATGTTTGTATTTTGGTATAAAACTTTGAATTACTAAGTAGATTCTATATAATGAAGACAATGTTTGGTTTTTATAGAACTCTTCATAACAATGATTGGCTTTGGGTATAAAATTTTGCTTTACCAGTAACATCACAGCGTATGCGGGAATCTTGTGTATTACCCTAAGGGGAATAAATGTGAAACAAATATAGGTGTATTAGGCAATACTTGGATAAGAGCACGTAAAAAGTTCAAAATATTTTCAAAGTTGATCCTTTTGATATTGCAACTTCTAATACAATATTTCATAGTATATAATTAGTTTTTTGCGTGCGAGTCTAAATATGATTATTCATTACAAAACAATCATTATAATATGATTAATAATCATCATATAATAGTTTATGTCAATAATTCTTGCATAACTAGTCTCGAACCAAATGATACCTAAAGTTTCCGTGGAAGAAATTTTGAGTTAATACTAACTGTCCATTTCCTAAGGTTAATAAACTTCTAGGCGGAGAGTTCTTAATGCAGACAGCCTATCAATGTTATGACCGGTTTGATAGTAATGGTAAATTAATTAATCCTTACGTGTACTTTGATTTCTTTCAATTTCCATATGGTAAGATTGGCTACGCATAGGATAGCGTTGCCTTTCTAAGATACCAAGCAATACATTGACTATACCTTGATTTTTCCCTAATCAGAAGGATACACCTTTGGAACATCATTCAGTTCTTGTTAAGGAAAATGGTTAAACTACACCCTTTTTAGTTGAAAGAAATGGTTGAAATGGACTTCTGTGACCTACGTAGGTATCAGCATGACCCTTCCCCTCCTCGAGTATACCAAAAATTGTTTACACCAAATCACAGAATGAAGGTCAAACTATAAATTGAGATTAACTACATTAATTACCACGCATAGGTGATAATATTGCATGTAGAATATTTACCATACTTCTGAGTGATCTGACAAGCATTTAGTCCTACTTTACAACACTCCACTTTTGAACCATTACCATAGGCACTCTTTCTCGAAATGTAAAACAAGGAAACTAAAACCCAGCTGATCCAACAAGTGAAGAGTATGATGCATTTTCGTCACTGGTGAGTCCCTGTTCAACAACTTTGTGGGCTGTTCCAACATTTGTTTCCAAAAGTGTCCCAACGTCTAGGTTGCACGTCGTGCAGAGCTCTAATCTCTTCTGTTTTGCTTCTGCAAAATCACCGTCCCAGCAAGTTTCGGAGATAATCTCAAGTGCTTTCTCTAGTTTGTCTTCTGGTACAAGAGTTCCATTTTGTTGGAGCGCAAAATAAACTTGATCAGCACTGGCTCTTCTTATCTGCAAAAATAGTTGAAAACAATTGTTGAGAAGACGTTCAGTTCATTGTGGCATGTTCTTAATATATCTATTCACCAATCTTAAGTTTCACTATGCAGCTGCTTTGTGCTACCTTTGGAAATCCGCAGGTGAGGAAAGGTAGTAAATGACAGAATGCCTGGACATTGATGGGCTCTGATACTGATGAAACATATCCAAGTATCTCAATTCCAGCATACAGCTTCTTGAAGTCTTTTGATCCTTTCAACTCTATACTAAGAGCTTCTAAAACGCCGGCACAAAATACTGCAGTCTGGGCCTGTTAAAAGATATGTGAGAGATAGAGAAAGAGAGAGAGAGATGAGTATAGGCACATCATCCGTACAGCCCCAAGCAAACAGCGATAAGCACAACTTGGTTTGTGCAGAATAAACGCAGTATACACCAAAGCAAAGGGAAGATACCAGCTACATGAAATACTAGATATTTAAAATAAAAAGAAAAAACCTAGTGGAAAATAGACTAACCTCTATGTTTAAGAATACCTTTTTGCTGAATAGGATCTCAATTGTCTGAAACAAAAAAAAAAGGATAAACACATCAGTGCCAGATAACATGTTCCCCATTGTTGCATAAGAGCTTCCAAAATGGTTTATCATTATCCTGAGTTATTCCATCCACTGCCTTGAAGTTTTGGGTTGGAAGCTCAGATTATTTCACATGGTATTAGAACCAAAGCCATTCCTAACGTTGGGCCACAGATGTTTTGTTACTCTTCGCTCCAATCTACGTGCAAGGTAGTGTTTGAATGCTGCATAGCTTAGACGTATATGTTGTACTTCTTATAGGGCTCTTCTTGTAGTTGAGTTAGCCCAAGGTTCATTTTCTTAACATGGTATTAGAGCCTAACTTTGGTAAGTTTGTTTTGTCAATTATCTTCTTACTATATATTCTCTCACTCTAAGTCCCTCTCTCTCTAAGCAAATTGAGCCATTAATTCTGCTCTAAGCCTGATTTTCAGCCTGTTGAACCTACCTCCGGTTTCAACCAATAAAAAGAAAGACAGATAAATGTTCAGGATACTGCATAGACGGACAAAAATGTAAATTCTCCATATTTCTGCAATAAAAGTTTATGATTACGTCTATAGCCTACTGCCAATGCCAAACAAAGAAGAAACAATTACTTGCATTAATCATAACATGAGAATTCTAGAAACATGAACACATTGTGATCTACAAATTAAGGAAAGGGTCGACAATCATCTTTTGCAGTAATAAAACTTGAAATTGAATTTACCTTCAAAGTGGGTACTATGACTCTGTCACAATTTTTGTATGTTTGAAGAACCCAAAGAATGTCATTAGAAAGATTGTACTCTCTAGAACCATTTACATGTTCATCTGTTGACTGAAGAAATTCAAGCAAAGCACTGACTGATGCCTTTGTCAATGAATCTTGCAAGCCACCGATGGAAATAGCCAACCCCGATATCACATATTTGCTATAGCAACTGATATCAAGCAACTGAAGAAAACGTGGAAATGAGTAAGTAGGTACCTGCAGGATCACATAGAAAGGCTTCTTTGTCAGATAACAAAATTTATAGCAACCAAAACAGAAGGCAAGCAAATTTTGACCTACCCCCCATTTCAGATCTGCATCGTCAGGAACAATCTGTTCTAGTCTCTCTCGATAAGGTATAAATGGTACAAAAATTGATTTATTATGCAAAATTCTTCGAAGAGCCTTTGCAGCTAACTCTCTTAATTTATCCATCTTCTCCACTGCTTGCTTAACAATGCATCCAACTAAACAGGTTGCCACATTTTCATCAAAAAGAATCTTCATCTGGTTAGCACTATCTTTCTCATCGAACTGAGAAACAGATCCAAGTTCCATTTTCTCGGACTTGCTTGAGAAGCCCTTGAGTTCTCTCTTGCATAGAATGTATGTGCATCTCTCAAGGCCATCTATGGCAGCTTCACGAACCCAAGAACCAATGTCACCTCTGTTATCTACAGAGTAATCGTCCAAAGCTTTAAATAGAGTCTGCATAACCTCATTCTTAATAAAAACATACAGAGATCTGCATTCTTCTGCAGAGAATAGATGAGAATATTCTTCTGTCGCGGTCAAAATTTCACACACTGATACAAGTGCTTTGGCAGAATTTACCCGTGCTTCAGCATCTCTGTCTTCAGGTTTAGCCTATACAGTATAAAGTGTTTAATCATTCAAGATAATGTGCAGCTTAGTTCCTCATCAGCAACAGACAAAACAGAAGAGGCACTTCTTTACCTCAATTTCACAAGCAGCACAAAGCTTCCAAAGTATATCCTTCCATCCTTTAGCTAGATACTTATATGGCAAAACACCAAGCGCAAGTGAAGATCCTCGTCTAGCAGCCACATTAGGATCAGTCAATTGCTCAAGGTATCTTGATGTAATGGTATTGATGCCTTTACTTTCCGAAGCCACAAGGTAAGCAGGAAAGAAGCTTTTCAAGGCTGCAACCGCAGCCCCCTACAAACACACTAGTGAATCAGGCAATTCACTCAAAGGAAGATAATCAACAGGAAGCTGACAAAGTCACAAGATAAACCTGTATCTGGGAATTAGGATGTCTCAAATTCTCATGGAGTGTATCAAGCAGACTCCGCTTTATTTTATCTGTCAATTGGACACGAGCTAAAGAAATGCACTCAATGAAACGGGAAACAGCAGAACGCATTATTTCTCCACCCTTTCCCCGATATAGCCGTGCTTTCTCAATTGCTGGAACCACACCAGCAACTTGATTCTGCAGATCTGTAACAAAAAGATTGAGAGAGATCACACAATTAGCTATACATGAAAAACACAGAAATAGACGGTGTCATAACCCTTGACCAGCTGATTTTCTCTTCAGCAATTTAAAAAGGACTCGTGGCAATTCAAAAATTTAAAAGACACCCACGTGGTGATTTTATAGGTAAAACTATGAAAAAAGAGAACTGCATGTCTTAGAATGTAATCCCCCTTCCAAATTCATTGTCATCTTGGCTTTCCCGCAATAATCCACTTTTCTAAAAACTGAACAAGAATACTTCCGTTGCTCTTTAATTATTATGTGTCATTTCTGGGTATTGCATAATACAGAAGTATAATGTGCCCCACATTTACAATTAATGAAGACAATAGCTCGCTTCTCTACTATCGCACTAAACAAAAGTAGCTATCACCCCCCATAAACTATTCTTCTGATAACCCCAGAATATTCAATTGGGATATAGGGGAAATGGGTCGACAAAAAAAAGCACTAATGGGGAGCAAACAGCTATGACAAGAAGTTAGCCCCAAATAGTCCACTTTGAGTTCGTGATTTCATTTCACAAAAGAACAGTGGGAAAAAACATTTCCCCTACAAGCATGGACATATAACACCAAAAGTACGTGGAATATACGTGCAAAGATTAGTACACGTAGTAATTGTTTCTCTTTTTAAACTTAATTTACTTTCTAATGCAATATAGTTCTAGACTTTCAACAATGATTTATGAGCAAATCTTGCTTTCTGGTAAAATGCAGAACTATATAACTCATCAAGAGAGAACAAGGAAAGCTAAAATTTATGAATGAAGAACTAAAGAAAAAAATGCATTGAAGACCTAAATTTGAAACCAGTACGAACCAGCTTGAACTTTGACCTCAGTCAAATAACTAAGAGTTTGAAGTTGAAAAGGAGATACCAACCTGGGGAAAGAACATAGTCACACTCATGAAGGGCCAATATAACTTCACCAATAGCTAAAGTTGCACCATGACGCATACACAAATCAGAAGACAATGTGCAAGGCAATAATTTTCCCACAACAGTACTAGCAAAATGTCCAGGATCATACTTAGCAAGAGAAGAAAGGGCATTTGCAGCAAGCTCTCTCAAACTTTTGTCCTATATTCCAACAATAGGTAACGAATTAACAGAACCCCCAATAATATAACTAATAAGTGCAAGCAAATGAAGTAATTAATGCACAAACAAAGAAGTTAAGTACATTGGCCAGCTGGTACGATATTAGCAGGGTCTTAATTCTCAGATTTAGACTGCTATGGATGCATGTCTTAAGTTCAATTGGAGGAGGAAACTAGAGAAATTACAGAAAGAAGATGAATTACACATTTGTGCTAAACAACCCAGTAGTTTGGATTAATTAAGGCAACACCTTTATTTTCCCAATCCAAAAGATCCTTAGAACAACCTTCTCTGTCAACTATCTTTTCTGAATACTGTAATTTCGCTGACACGTCACACTTCCTTAGATGTTCTCAAACATAAAACAATTAAACCAGAAAATGATATTTGTACACAAAATCCCATCATATTTCTGTTCATATTCCTTCTATCCTATTTCAGTTCCATGCTGTGACCAAACTTGTAACAGTACTCTCTTTGCTAAGACCACTAAAAGAAACTTTGGTGAGGAATCAGCTATATGCAACCATATCTTTGGTTAATTTGTATTATGCATCTTCTCATACCACACTCAAGCAAACCAATAAATATTTTACAAAAGAAGTGCTTTATATGAGTTGAAGCAAGGAATCAAGCAAATATAAACATACCCAGTGACAGATCTTGCTGTTCAGAAGCTCATCAACAAAAGGATAAAGATAGCCATCATATTGAGCAATGTAGACAGCAACATGAAGATAGGAGTTTATACGTGACGAAAGCGCAAAGAAATCAGCTGCATTCACTATATCGATACCATAAGGAAAATTTCCTTGTCGTCCAACATTCTCTTGAAAAGCAGCAGCTGCTGCTCTTCTACAATTAACCTGGGAAATAATACCAATGTTTCATCATTTCAATTGGAGAAGGAAACACCTTGACTGGGTAAGGAATGACCCCTGTGTTTTTGGTACCTCACGGTCATAGCATGCCACAGTGAGAAGGTGTGGAGCAAGCTGTTCAAGTACGCTTTTCATATCTGCATGGTAATATGCACGGCCAAATGCCCAACAAACATAAGCAGCAGCATCACGTACATGAGATCCAATGCTATGTGGACCCCTTCGAATGTCATAATGTAATGCCTGCCAAAACAAACTTTACCTCGTTATTAGGGGGACAAAATCCAGCTTCAACGAGCCAAGAGTTTAGTGAGTGGATAATCCGAGACAAGTGCAATCCATTATCCTAAACCAGGTAGTCTGGATTGGATATGTTTCAATAACTCATTCGAACCAAACCAAGAATATATCGTTATCCGTGCATACTCATTAGTAAACATCAAAAGAGCATGATTTGTGTTCTGGAAGCTCAGAATTGGATGAAAATATAAAAGACTTGTGATTTGAAGGCGAAAATTATATGTGCATAAGTACGCAACTCGAGACACAGAAAAACACATGAAAGTACAATAATGACATCTAAAAAAATTAATTTAAATTGGATCCATAAGCACACAGCAGTCAGCACATATGAGTCCTATGGGAATCTGTGGTTCTGGTCGCCTACAGTTTTCAGCCACCAAACTCTTCATGGGTAAACAGAGGCCCTTTCCTCTCTCTCGTGTATGGAAGTAGGCAGCAGGTCTTATCTGTTGTATTTCTGCAAGAAGAAAGAATCTCTTCTTTTTAAATCCCAGCAGCGGCGAAAGCCCCAATCAGTCTGCCTAGGCATTGGTAGATGGTCACCCAGTAGTCGTGGTGGTGGGAGGTAGCAGCCTAGCAGGTATTCGGTGGAGTAGTCGAGGTGCATGCAAGATGTACTGGACCCCCACCTTTATAATAAAAAAATGTTTCTGCAACATAAGTTGAAGCAACAAATATGTTAAAGGATTCTTGGTATAATGTTTCCCTTGACTACTAAAGTGTGTTACTACAGAATCCCGAGCGACCTATAGAGTTGCCAGAGAGAACTATAGCAGCAATCCAGCAAAATGGAGTGGAGCAAGTCGACTATGAGTTGCCTGTTCTTAACCAATAACTTTTACTTGAAGGAACAAAAAGAGGGAGAAAGATTGAAAATGACAAAGCAAGCTGTGTATCACTAGCAACTTCATACTTTTTGGAGAAAATTAATAGCTCAATCACAAAGTTCTACATATATGGAGTTAAGGAGAGATCAGAAGTACTAGGAATAAAAGTAGGACGCTCAGTAAAGATAACCTTTATAACAACAGGCACAACTTTGTGAAAACTAACAGGTAACAGCAATCCTCTACGTGCCAATTCAGCCAGCGCCAAACAACCACCATGCCATGAGCCATCTCCCTGCAACAGTATAATACATAATTATGATCCAACCCGAACGAACAAAAAAGAAACTTGAAGTGCAAAAGGAACTATTAGCATTGCCGGATGTATCTCCTTAATCAATATTCTGTATGCGGATATAGTGGCTATCTCATAAGATAATAGAAGTTCAACTGTCAAGAAGCAACTGGCAACACACCTCGCTAGGCGAAAAGAGCTCCAGAACAGATGAAAGGACTTCATCTGAAAGCAAGTAAGTTAACCGTGAGGTAACACGGCCAATACCTTTTGCAGCAGACCAACGCACAACGGTGTCCTGTAGTACCGTTATAAGATCTCTAAGATGAGAAAGTTGCAATGAAAATAACAAATAGTGAAAATGTGATTAAATAAAAGGAAGTCCTGCAACAGTAATATGTTGAAACAGAATCAAATTTTGCTTGCATGAAGATGCATATACCTGTTTTTAAAATAGTAACTACAGATGAATGCAAAATGAGATCGACTGGCCTGAAAAGAGGTAAATAAATGTTCCAGTGTCTGTTCCACAATGTCAGTGACACTAAAAGCTCCTAAAAGACATAAGCAACTGACACTTTTGACAAGCCGAAACCCCCCTCCCTTCACACACCAAGACACAACCTTAGCATCAAGATATCAAGTTTTCAAATGCACCAGCTCAAAAATAGAGAGAAGAACATACGTGGATATTCAACTTAAACTTATCAAATTCTTCAACGAAAGAATCGTGGACTTCTTACTCGATGAGGAGGAAGTGAAGGAGGATTTATTTTTTAAGAAAAGACATCCAAGGAAAACTGCTATCAACTTGAATTTGTATAGGGTCTTGCACCATATACATAAAGATTTACAAGGACAGCCAGATCAGTACATAATGGAAGCTCACCCTTTAGACATACCGTGTCACGCAATCCTGATAGCAGTAATTCAATAATCTCTTCTACTAGATCAGGGACATCTATATCTTCTTCTTCCTGACAGTTTGGGTCTTGATAGAAGTATGAAGGATCATTGTTTCCAGCGTCATTGAATTGGTCCTTTTTTATTCCATTGGCAGTAATATTCCCTCCAAGTGTGCTGGTTCTTCCCTACATGAAAAAAGCAAGTAATATCACCAACTATTTCTTTCCACATTCCATGGTGAGTAGATCAGTACAGAAGTATTTCCAGTGGAATACCAAAATGCGCAGGAATGAGAAACAAAGACAAATATCCAGCAATCGAATAGAGAGAAGGAGCTGACAAATAGGTTGGTCTTAACTTTGGTAGACATCAGAACACTGTATTCTTTTTTTTTTGTCAAATGAAAGAGAAATGCTGACAAGGATATAGAAGATCAAGTCAGCAGGGAAACATAAAGAAAAAAGGACGCTCCTGACGAATAACTACAAAGACCCTAATCTCCTTATTCCCCATGAAGCATCACAATTTTTCTATTAGAAAGTAGGACAACTTGTTCCCAATGATGATCCTGAACGTAGTTGCTATTTAAATGCACAAAAAAATATATTCAAGCAGAGCAACCATCAATTTATAACTTGAAAGAAACACTTAAGCTACATATTTTGCATGATTAGCTATCTAACCACATATCGCCATGCTGGATAACGCGGAGGGAGACAGATCATCCCAACCCTTTGAGTTAGCTTCACAAGGTACTTGCGAAGTAAAGGACTTCGAGATGCAGTGTTGGACTTTAGCAGCGCTGATGTGTCATTCCAAACACCAGGAACCACACTGAGCAGCACTTTAGGGCTTCCATTCTGCACTTAGCGGAAAAAATACTGTGCTTAAAAATACTCATATTGAACAAGACTGCAAGATTACCAAATAAAATGGGTTACATAACATGTTGAACAATTGTACCGCTCCATAGTGAGTACAGCCAAAATGAGCTGTCTACATTGTTATAGATGTTAGACTGCATCGGATGATTGATCTGTCTTTTCCATTCAATAACAGGTCTCTAATCACGACACCAGAAGATATATTCGAAAGTTACTGAAACTTAAACCTGGCATTTACTTGATAAAATCCAAATTGAATGTTCCAAAAGAAATTCTCAAAATTCTTAAAAAAACTGACTGTCAATACACTCTGTCTCATAAAATTCTCAAAAGAAATTGCTCCTGGAAGAGCACCTATAAGGATTTCATGGTCTGAAGGGCAAGGCATGAAAGATGAATGCAGATTATTCGAATTTGAGTATCAGAGGAATGTATACGTTCTAAAGTAGGAACGTATACTAGCAAATTTCTATCAATCATACATAAGAAAAGAAAGTATTCCAAAAGAGGACACAACGAACAAAAGGCAAACCTTGAAAATAGCAGATAGTGCTTCAACTGCACCCAATAACCGGAAATGATTGACAACATCATTTGAAAGACACGTCATAACTTCATGTGTCCAATCCACAAAGCTGAAAACAAAATTGCAGGAAACCAAATATGAATATGGCTAAAGAGCTTTGAAACACTTAAATAATTCCCTAAGGAGGTCATCAAGGGCTGGTTGAATGGTAAGAATGTAGCATGGAATGTGTGGATTGGGCGCACATCTCAAGTTGAACTGACACGAAGGCTGATATTTAAGGGGATCAGGACAGAGGGGCAGGATCATACTTCCCCGAGTTTCAGACCTTTGGGCCAGCTAAGAGCTAACTCACGGGGGAACTCTCGGTTAAAAAGAAAATTCCCTAAGGAGGCACAAAAATATCAACATCCTTACTTTTCTCAGATCTTCAATCTTAAAAGATTTTTATTCTTGTGTTGTTCAAAGAAATAATATTCATGTTTAATATAGAGAAAAATAAAACAGAATGCTTAGCAGGCATCTATGACAATTTGCATCCATAAGGACATGCATTTCATTTGCTGATCAGGCATAGCAGTGAACTGCATGTGTCACATAACAAGCAAAGTGAAATGCAGTAAATGCTACTCTAGCACGTATCTCTTCATTTGCATTAACCAACATAACTGTGCATGCACGAGAANTTAGAAGCCTTGAAAGCAGCAAGCCAGCTATGGTTCGCATAGGACCTGCACTTGAAAGGAAGTCTTTAGAGAATTCTAAGATTCTTAGTACAAGTGGAGGTGGCTCATCACTTCCAGTGTAGTTATTATCTGCAACACTAGTATCCACAGAAGATATATCAAACGGGATCAATACAAGAATGTAAAGCCACAATAGCATCACGCATTTAGCCTCCATCTCTCCAGTACTTTCTTGTCTTAATGATGTTACAGCTTGTGTATTATGGCATTTCTCCAGGAGAGATACTGCAAGCTCCAGGTCAGAGACCTGATGAGGGAAGAACTTGACAACAGCCTTGTAGCCACAAACTGTCACCAGAGAATAGATTATGATGCATATAGGCTTCATTACTTCAAGAATTTCTTCAGAGGCAGCACCCAGTTCGACAGCTTTTGAACGGACAATGGACATGAGAGGCGAAACCATACTCTCGAGGTAAGGCTCAAGTAATTGACCTTGCTCCTGATATTTGTCCATCTGCAAATCATATATGTTTGATAGTCAAACAAAGAATTACAGCTTGTTTGGATGGTTGTTACCTATTGTATTGTATCGTATTGTTACTTCAAATACAATGATTGTTACTTAAATTTTATTGTATCATTTTTTGTTAGTAATATTGCAAGTTAATTTTTGTGATATCGTGAAATGACGGCAAACGATCCAATCTATCCAAACATTGTATTCATCAAACAATACAATACAATAAAGTACAATACAATACGATACATTATGAAACGACATGTAACAACAATCCAAACAAGCTGTTAATGTATTACCCAAAGAAAAAAAAGATGGAGTAACTATTATAAAAATTCCACTAGTTGTAAGCAATTGCTGTTTCGAAAGTGAACTTCAAGTACACTATTACGGTTTTTGGGCTTGGCATCATCAGAATTTACTCACCAAAGTTATATTTTACTGGTATATCCAATCACAGATATAGCATTGAACTAATAGTTATGCAGTTTAAACAGAGGAAAGAAATGATAGAGAGAGAGAGAGAGAGAGAGAGAGAGAGAGAGAGTACGATAGATCGGATCTTATGCACAGAAGAGATATCGGAGACACGGCCAATGGAAATAATATCGTCGAGGAGTGATTTGACACGCTTCCATTCCTGAAGAAAATATCTCTGCACAACGCTCTCTTTAGAATCGTGTTCATCGTCTAATTCAACTTCGCTTACTGCCTCCATTTTCAAATTTTCCTCCATCTTTGAGCCTTTCTTCTACTTCGCCAATCCCAACAGAGACGCAGAGAAACACTTCGACGATTTGATCAATTTGATTTGATTTTGTCGCTTTGCGTATTGGGTATTTGCCGGACTGAGGGATTATTTCATCTGTTTAAAGCAATTATTAGCGTCGGAGTAAGCTGATGGGTCAAACTTCATACATGGCCCAAATCGAATTGCTGTCCAGCCCATAATTTGGCTCTAAAAGTTTTACGGGCTTTTTGTGTTGGGCTATCTCATCTCATGAATGAAAAGAATTTTAATAGTCCAAGAGGCTTAGATTTATATTTTGGGCAAAATACAGAATTGACCGGTCAAATCATCAATTGTATTCGCTAGTCAAAAAGTATATAGATTAAATATATATATATATATTTTATAGGCTATTATTTTTTAAAATGGCTAAAAATATACATTTCTCTTATATTATTTTCCTTAATACTCTTTTTGTCCAAAAATATTCTTTAATAAAAACTTAAAATTTTGTGTAATCCAACCGTGACACATATGTACCATAGAGGTGTTTGCATCGGTCGTGATTGATGCAGCCTAAGCAAAGCCTAGCTCGATTAGGACCATATGTACCATGTGTCAAGAGTATGTCTCAGAGAACAAGAGAACAATTGAAGAAAGCAAATAAAGATTAAAGACCTCTACCAAAAGATTGTCACTTAACCAATCAAAATTATTTCCTTTCTTTTACATGATACATATACAAAATATCATTTGCACAATTCATGATCTTACTTATGTTTACAAAGATATGCTATGTATACAACATCAACACATAAATTAAATTTCATATCACAACTAGCTAAAACAGTACTCTCATGAAGATTAATCTGTGGTAATTCTTCTTTAAGGCTCATTTTTCCCATAGCTACCACCATTAGAATTAGCCTTATGCCAAGCTGCAAATCCATTAAACAAAGCTAAAGTATTGCTAGTAACTTGAGCAACATTTAGAACCCTAGCTTTAATTGTAGCCATCACCTTACCACCCATGCCATAACCAGAAAACCCATCCATGCAAATATATGTATCAGTCAAGACTGTACTAAGCCAAGTTTGAACATTGCTCTGACACCATACAAAATCTCCTTCTGCATCTGCACTCTTCATACGTTGAAGCTCTTTGAATGAGTTTGTGAGCTGAGAAACACTATCGGACATTTGATCTAAACAATCTTCCACTGCTTGATATTCCCTGGCCTTGTTTTGTTTGAGTTCATTGGACACTTTTCTCAAGTAGATTTTTGTATATACTGCCTTAACTATGCTCACTTTCAAAGCAACTTGAGCTATTTCTTGTGGATCTTGTGATGTTGGATTTACATGGTTTGCTAGAGATCTCTCACATAGATCTGGATAACGAGTGCGCCTACACTGTGACTCTATAAATGTAGGCACAATAGCACCCTCAACAACAAAGGTAGAGATGATGAGAAGTAAAATAAGGGAAAAGACAAGTTTTGCCATTTTGTGAGAAATATAACAATAGGAATTAATGCTTAAGCTTTTTAGAGTATGATGAAGAGAGAATGGTTTTTGCTGTGTTTATTTTGATGGGAAATTGTCAAGAGGGTGCTAAGGTTTATATAGAAGGGCTATCACATGAATGATCATGAGAAGTTTAGTACGCTCATTCCTTCTTACTAAATAATTTTCCTCTTTTAAGTCATATTTTTGGAATTGATTAATTAGTAGTATTCGAGAACCAGGTGCTGATGTTGGAGGTCTAGTGAACACAAACCTTAATTCTTGTCCGAGCAATTTCGTAATTACGTAACTTATTATTGTGTGATTGCTTTGACCCCGAAAAAGTTAGAAAAGAGTGTCTCTTATTAAATCACCTATTTTCTCCTTTAATTTGGTAAACCAATGATTTGTATTTTCATTTTTTAAGGTACAAAAGTTACAAGTTATTTACATTTACAGGACATTTTAATTTGAGCTTTTGATATGTGTAGGCTGTAGCGCTTCAATACATTAATTTTTAATAGGCTTCTAATCAAAAGGTTATTGGAGATTGGTTGACCAACAAAATACTGAGATTTTTGGGCATTGCATTCTGTAATTATAAAGATTAGTCTTAGGCACGCGCTTTGCGCGTATACCTATATCAATGAGTATATAATTTTAAAAAATTACGTAAATATTATTAAATAATATATTTGAGTTATTGAATAAAAATTAAAAAAATAATTTATTTATTTTTGCATTAGGGATTTGTGCCTTTACAATGATATAGAAAATAGAGATATTTTTTTAAACTCCTTCTTACTCGAATTGAATAACATCTTTTTCTCTCCATTGATGTTTTCGCATAATATTTAAAAATTATATTTAATTATTAGAAAAATAGTTAATTAAGTACATACATCTTAATTTAATAGTAAGAATATATAGTATCCTCCCCTTAGAATTATAAGTTCAAACATATTTCATATAGAAATTGGCGTAAATAAATATAAGCAAAAGACAATGTAATATTGTTATCTCCCAAACAATATTTATGTTAAGACAATGTAATACTATTATTTCTCCCAAACAATATAAGTAAAAAATAATAGATCTTTGTGGTCCGACCCTTACAAGGACCCCGCACATATGGGGAGTTTAGTGCACCGAACTTTCTTTAATATTTATATTAAAGTCCTAAATATTAGGACTTCCTACATAATTCAACACAAGAAAGATTTTATAACCAAATTAGTTGATTTTAAAGTACTATATATTGCGATAATAACTAAATTACGATTTTGTCTAATGTGAAGTTTAATTTTAAATGGTAAAAATGGCGAACGATATTTCATTAAGGGCCTTCGTGCTTTTAATATAGATAGATAGATAGATAGATATGTAAGTTATTTTGTATTAAAGAAATTAATCAATTTAGTAGTGTACTTAATTAATCTTCTCTTTTTTTAGCGTTTTAATTTGAAATCCTACAAATGATACAGAGATTAGACGTGGTAAAAAGCTAGTATTGTTTTTTCTTTTGAAACACAAGTCTTTAGTGTATTAAAATCATGTCTTCCTATTGCAAATAAAATTGTAATACAATCTAATAAGGAAAGATTAACAAATAAAATTTTAGTCGATTTTAAAGTGCTAACTTTAGGAAAATTAGCATAAATGGCAATTGAATGTTTATTCCTAAATATTAGGAAGGCAACTTAAATTATAATTTTATTTAGTGTAAAGTCAATTTTTTAAGGGTAAAAAAGGCGAACGACATTTCGCTAAGCGCTTTTGTGTTTTTAATATAATATAGATATAGATAGATAGATCCCTAAGTATTACACAAAGTAAAGACTAATGAATGTAACTTACGTAATCATATATACTACTAGTAAATTGCAATTGAAGCCTATGATTCTTTAGGTGATTTTAAAGAAATTTCAAATTACTTATGAAATCTTCTTGATTATCGATTGAAGAAACACACTACTTGGAAGAAGGGGCCTTTTTCTTAAAATTCAACTAATTCAAGTAGATAAGTTATTATCGTTTAGTATCAGTTAATTATCATCATTATATAACAGGGTCAATATATATTGTCATATAGATTAATCCTAACGTCACAACAACTATTCCTAGTATACACTAGAAACAGTTGAATCTCAATGTCCGTCCAGAAAAACCACAATTATAATTTATTTATTTTTTAAAAGAAAAAGAAATAACTAAAATCCCTGAAAGTGAAATGCCGAAGAAGCTTGTTGGAGTGAATGGGAGCTAATTACAGAACTCAAATCAATATATGGTAAGTCAATATATACTGAGAAAATGAACAAGCAAAAGAGAAAGGGCTATTTTTTTCTCTTTGTCGGAAAGATTTTCTAAGAAAGAAAGAGCTTAGTAAATAAACATTTGGGTTGAAATGTTTTTTCCCCAAAATATGATGGGAAAATGTGAAGGGTGTAATGTCACATGCGCTCGAATTTGACCATGATTCGTGTAACGTGTGGCATATGCACAGATCCCACTAGAAGACCATAGTATTCGTAATCATAATTTAATTGGTTTTACACGTGCAGGTAGCTTCCAGGAACCGAGAGTTAAGGTTGGGTATAGTAAAGACAAAACCTTAATTCTTGTTAGAGCTATTTAGTATTTACAAACTTAAGTAACATTCCTAATTGTTAAAATTAGTACTCCAGCATATGTATATTCAAGATTTAACATTATGGATTCGAGCTCGAACTCTATCACAATTTATTTGATTTATTGTATTCAAAATCTATTTTAATATTTATTTAATAAATTTTTTAACATATATATATATAGTATCAACTGAGCCAAAATTATTAGGTTTGAATTCCGCCTCTATACTAAATTACATCAGGTATCATCTTTTGAGTTTTTCTTCTTTGATCTCTAATTCATGTAATTATGTTCAATATGACTCCGAATCATAACGCTTCATAAGCATAGTTAAACAGTACTCTCAAGAAGATTAAGCATAACCGTCTCCCAACTCTGAATTTGCTAAAACACATAAGTATTATTGAGATAAATGCTTGCAAGGTTGTGATGCCAACAGTGAAACAATCTTAAATGTCCTTAAAATCTCTCTCTCTCTATATATATATATAAATAATATTGAGGGACTAGAGAAGGTGACTTGGCGTCTCTAATAGGTCAAGGAACCTAATTATTTTTTTTTCTCCTTTTTTTAACATTTTCCTTACTCATTCTTTTTATTTTCAATTTATGCTAACAGTCCAAAAGACATGTCTCTTTGGAGACATCCGACCATAAAAAAAAACTAAAAGTCATCACAAAATAAAAGAACCATTTCTTACCTAACCGCTCATAATGACTAATTGCAATTAACTATGTATATTTTGGTGAGCATGTTCTTCTAGCTTGTGTTTTTCTTTTTCTCTCTTACTAACTCTAGCACTATTTCTGACACATTGATTTAGTACTTTTACTAAATCCGCTTATCTCTTTATATGTTATTGGGTGCATTTGTTACTAGCCTTTTGTTCAGGGTCGCTACAATAGTTGGTGCCTTTTATTCTTCGTTTTTCCTAATTTGGTACCCATGGATTTGGGTGGCATGATAGTTTGCTTTCTTCCTTTTATTCACCCATCAATAAATTATATACAGAGATAGGATCAATCTTTAATAAGTTGAGTTAAGAAGGCTTGAAAAATTGCTACTGATTTATAAATAAATAATTATCAATTTACAATAGAATTGTTAAGCAATCAATTATACCACATAATGTTACATCGTATTCTACAACTTCTTATAGTTGCGATCTTTTTTATCATGAGATTTACATCTAAATTGTTTATTTGAATTTCAGGAGAAGTTGTATCTTGGAGTATTAGAATTTTGATTGGGTTTTTACTTGAGTTTGTTGCTTATGGAGGTTTTAAAAGAGAAAAGGAGATGAAAAATATGGGAAAATGGGCAATTTAGTGGGTAAGTGTGACACGGTATGAAGATATAAAGGATTGTGAAGAGATCACAATACGAGGTGAATATAATCTACAATTGAGCCTTTAAAGATGAGGTTGTTAAAATAAGGCGGATCAATATTTTGAATGAATTGGAGAAGCAAATGACCGTCGATTTTAAGGTTGATTTGGGAATAGTTTATTAATAAATTTATTGGGAGTTTCTAGGTACCACGATGATTCATTTATTTTGGTTTGTATAATGGAGAAGAATCTAGTGAGTGGTGAGAAGCAGATCATGGCTTTCGTGGAGCCTTTGGTGATCTTCTTGATCCTAATTGTCAATGGTAAAATAATTGCGTGCAAGCCTTTTTGGATAAAGAGTTCAGGGAATTATTTTGGAACTTTGGCAATTTTTAACATTCATAAGCAGCATCAATTAGGGGTGTACAAATAAAACCGACAAATCGCACCAACCCGATAATTCGAGTCAAACCGAGAAAAAAAAAAACCTAACTATGATTTGGTTTGATTGGTTTGGTGTTGGAAAAAAAAACTTGACGATATTTCGTTTGGTTTGGTTTTAACTAAAAAAAATCAAAACCAACCCAACACACACACACA